ATTTACTTTCTTTTTAAAGAATAAGGGAAATTTTATATATGTTTTAGTTAAATTAATATAATAGTTGGAACCAGTTATGCAAAAAACAGCCATTTGCGTAAAAGTACCAACAGAGTTATAAGCATTTTTCTGTCGATAGTTTAAAATTGAACAATATTTATATAAGTATTGTTTATTTTTTATAATAAAACGCTTATAACTCTGTTGGTACTTTTACGCACATGGCTGTTTTTTGCATAATTGGGTCCAATTGATACTCTGTTTATATTTACTTAGTCTGAGCAATAACATTACGAAATCCTTATTGTTTATTCTACGTGATCACATCAGTGGCTTGAAAGCGTATTTTAAAGTAAACAAAAGAACCTTATATTAATTAATTATACACACATTGCAATTTGCCAAATACTTATATATAATATATTGGCATAAATATCGCTTCGCCTTTTTACACTATCATGTTGATATGATCGAAAAGTTTTGATATATTATTAAAAAAAAATTAAAACGTGAAATATTTGAAACTATAGGTATATACGTATAGTTGTAAAATTAAATTATAACTATGTATAGTCGCTTCAAGCACATATAGAATCACTTATTATGTTAAAAACGTTAAAAATTTAATACATTACAAAAGACTTTACATAAGTATATAATAATAATCATTTATTAAGTAGAAATAGCAAAAATAGAACCCAAAATAAAGTAAAATATTTTATTAAAATTTTATAATAATCAATTTTTTACTCAATTTTTATATTAAAAAATGGTGGATTTAATAACTATAAATGAGATTAAATAAGATGGCAGTGAATAAATGACTTTACACTGGGTGTTGAGAATTAAGTATAGTTTAAAGAAATGAAAAAAAAAAAATTTTTTTTCGGATCGAACTTATCGATTATAATTATTTACATAATATCATATAAATATTTCGCTACACAATAAAGTGGATAAGAAAAATATATAACTATGATACATGCGACACTTAACAGCACAATTTTGTATAGTTTGGGGCATTTTCATAGGAATTTCACGTGATATAGACAACATTCAACATATTATAAATATAAAATATATACACAATTGTTCAAACAATCACTTTATAATGCAGTATTATTCTAAAATTTTTGTGTAAAAAAATCTAGAACACTGCACTCGACCAAAAGTTTAACGAAGATGTAAAATGTAGTAAATGCATTAACAATCTTATTTAATTTACTTTTTAGCACACGCTATATACTCCGGTGACACGTCGAGGGGGGCACTCACGGACATTTATTTTCGCTTCGTAACAAGATAATCTCTTTATTATAAAAAAATACTTAAAAAAATCTGCACAAAACTAAGACCGTAAAAAAATCACATACATTTTTTTGTATATAAATATCTAAAACAAAGCTGTTCAATATTTTAATACATTTTTTTAAATGATATAAAAATCAAAGAGTATCACAAAACGTTAATAATTTACATGAAAATTTTATTATTTCACTTTAATATTAAAAAGAAATGTCTAATAGAAATTAAAAAAGAAAATATACATTTTTCCATTAATACGCGCAACGAGCAAGCGCACAGCTAACTGCGTCTGATAATATACTCCCGGCTTAGAGTAAGACACTAATCACAATACACATAGTACACAATAATACACAATACATTCGGTGTATACACCGAGAAAACGTGTGTGAACGCGAGTGTCTCTAATTTCCCAATCTACACACACACATAAAGAGGAAATATTTGTATTTTTGTATGTTTGTGATGAATAAACTAAAAAACGACTGGACAGCTTTAGATGAAATTTGGTAAGAAGATAGTTTGAGAACCTGGGATGGATATAGGATTTTTATTCTGGAAATCATCTCTTAAGGGGGTGAAAATGGGGATGAAAGTTTGTATGGGGAATCAACCTAGGGACGAGCGAAGCGAGGGTGAGTCGCTAGTTAGCAAATATAGAGACACTCGCGTTGATACTGACATTCGGTGTATACACTTAAAGTACCTACCGTGTATAGTGTCTTAGTCTAAACCGGCCATTATAAAGCGTCCATATTTACAGCGCAATCACTTCAATCCCTACTAATACGATTTAGGTCCTTTATTCCGTCTTAACAGTGTTTATGTTAGAGCCTGATTGAAAATCTAGAATCTAGATCATAAGTGATGACTTGATTTTTTTAGGAATAATCGATTATTTCGTTATCCATATCATATATTGAAAAAAAAACATAGAGAGTGGACTGAGTGTTTCTTTGCTAGCTATCGCGCGAGAGACGCGACAGAGACAAAACGAATGCGCGGCCAGAAGTCTTCTCTATTAATTGAAATAAGATTAATGAAGATAGATATTTATATCATTTTACATTCCATTATAATATTATGATTTTTTACATTCCATTTATAAAATCAAATTAAAATAAAAGACAAGTATTGACCGCACGTTCGCTTTCTCTCTTTCTAGAGAATGGTCAATTTCATGAGAATATTGCTCAGTCCATTCTCTACGTCTATGACTAAAAACGAATTTATGAATATATGAGTCGATAAATAAGGACCGAGTTGTAATCAAAATATAACTTTCTGAATTTTAGACGTAAAAAATGTAAACATGTAATTTTTTAAAATATTTCGGATTTTTCGACAATATTAGTGAGATTTATCAAAGATTTAAATCAAATATTACATATACAAAAAATGTTACGCGAGACGTTTCATAAGAAATTATAGAAGGCAGTGAATTGCGGACGGAGAGATCAGATTAACGTAAATATGAGTATGTGTTAATGGCGTTTGAAAGTTAAAGTAGCAATTTCATCGATTTGAATAATTATAAATAAACAAGATAGCATCCTACAATCGCTTTCGTTCCGATTGAAAAGAAACTAAAAAAACAACCTTTTGATCGACTGTAATAAATAGGACTAGTAGAAACAAATTAAGAATTTCAAAGGTATAAGCCAAGCCATTGAAATTCCATAAATTATCAAACAAAATATATACTGCAACCCGGGTTTTACACACTTGTGAAAATTTTAACAGACATCTATACATAGTATGAATCAAAGTCGCTACCGCTTTTTGTACGCTTAGATCTTCTAAACTACGCAAATTATTTTAATGCAGTTTTCAGCAATAGATAGAGTGATTCAAGAGGAAGGTTCATATGTATAATATACGCATATTATATTCATACGAGCCGTTAAAACGTACCTAGGGACGAACCCGAACGAAGCGAAGGTGAGTTACTATTGACAAATAAGTTACGATCGCCTTCTAAGATTTGACATGTTTTCTTAGTTACAAGTGAAACTAATAAAAGCGTGATAAGAATATATGTAAATGACATGACGTTTCCATAATATCAATCGTATAAAATTTTGAGTTATCTATTAACGATATCGATTGTAGAAAGTCAGTTGTCTCTTTGTATGTGCGGATAACCTGTTTCATTTTATAAAAGTCAAGCAATATTTTAAACCCTAATTCTTTTAATCGTATACTGAAGACTTTTTAAGCTGGTACTGTAGAGGATGGAATTGAAATAAACATATAATATTTTAATTCTAGACAACCCTACTAATATTATAAATGCAAAAGTTTGTGATGATGTAATGGAAGTCTGGATGTTTTTTACTCGTTCACGCAAAAACAACTAAATTAATTTTTATGAAACTCTATAATAATATAGCTCATAGATCAGAAAATCACATAGGCTACTTCTTATCACGGAAAAACGTACGGTTCCCGTGGGATAGATTTGTGTTTGTGAATCTAGTATTCTAGAAACTTAGGTAGTTACGAAAGGCCATCAACTCTCAAAATTTTAACCTATAGGTATGTCATAGCCGTACGTATTTTATATGTTATGATTTTTTTTAAAGTGTGAAAATTGTTTTTTTTTTTATTTACACTTCACAGATGCAATGACCACATTTTATTAAGCGTGATAAATTCTTAAAACGTCTTTACTTGTGATTTAAATCTTTGATATATCTGAATAATATCTATACATAAGCTAACAACACGTATATCATTTACCCAATGTAATCTTTTATCTAAGAGTATGGTACAGATTTAGAATAATTCGCAGTCTCGGTCGGGTTTCTAGACTGTCAGTGAGATATTTTCTGAATTGTTATTTCTGAAAATAATATTTATATACATGTAGGTACCTTCAAAATGTTTTAATATGAATAAACAAATAAATACTCTTCAACTAAAAGAAACTTTGGTCCATTGTATCCACCCTGGAATAAGACACTTCACTCAAATGTAATGTTCACAAAAAAATATAATTTGGAAAATTTTTTAGTATAATTATAATCAATAATAGTGGAGTCAACAGTGAAACGGTATAAATTATATTAGTATTTATTGTGTTCAATCACATATCTTAAGTGAATGTGGGACCTTTATGTCAGTGAATGTGGGACCTGTATGACGTTAAGTATAACATCAAAAATTAGTGGAAGGCAAGTTACATTTTTGATTAGCTAAAAATTAAAAATAAAACTAATATATTTCGATTCTCATCGCGAGTTCATCCGAAAACATGACATTTTGTAACATACATTTTGTGGTCTTGGGTTTAAAAGTAAAATATAATATTTATCCATCAACAATATTAATTGTATTGTAGTGTGTACGTACGTACGCTGTTTGCATGCGCGCGAGACCGTGAGACCGTCCGCGTGCGTGTGTGTCCGTGAGACCAGGGCTGCCAGATCGTATAGTTGGATACGAAAATTGTAAAATGTGGTTATTTTATGTATATTTTATTTTAAGTTATTACGTATTTTTATTGATTTTTTTTTATTTTTCACACACTATTTATCAACAGTTTTGTTAATTTGTGTAATAAAATTTGATTTTGTGTAATTTGAGTGAGCCAGCGGTACAAAATAAGTTGGCTCTACTGGCAGCCCTGCGTGAGACTGTCTGTCCGCGTGTGTACGTGTGTGTGCATACATACCAGCGCCGGGCGGCGACTAGCTGGGCGGCGGCGGCGAGGGCGGCGAGGGCGGCGGGTGATGGTCGCCCACGATGACCTGCACCACGTAGCCGGGCGTGATGCGCGCGTCCTCCACCGGCAGCTTGTCGCCCAGCAGCTTGCCGCCGTAGAACCAGCGCTGTCTGTACGGCTCGATGTTCTCTTGAGCCTGGAGCGGGAACGACGGCGACCAATGGCGTTTAGTTTGTTTACTTTTTTTATAGGTTAGGTTAAATCTTATGTTAACTCAAGATTTCCATATCAAATCGTGTAACAGTTTTCCAGCAATTTGTTACTTTGTTTGCGCACTGAACAATATTTTTAAATTAACAAATATAAAAAGATAGTGAGCTTTCTACAAAATTATAATGCTAAACATTATATTACAGGAATCATATTATGCCCCTAACAATAGGTACAGAATTATAATAATAAAAATTATACGCATAAATTTCGCGCGCTCCTTAGCAGCTTTGATTCTGAATGGTATTTACTTGTAATGGAAACCGGCTGACTGACGGCAGGCTATTTTTTTATGCCACCAATGTGACGTGTAATATCAAATAAATATCTTGAATACAGACATCACACTAGATAGGGAGATATATACAGGTTTATTATTATTTTTCCTAACGCACCAAAAGAAGTATAACATCAAAAAATTGCCTTTAGAAAATGCTCACAGTTGTTGGTCGCTCGCTTCTCGGGCTATAAATTATAATATTAGCTGAACACCCGTACTTACATGTAACTTCGCCTTGCAGTGCGCTATCGTGTGCCGCGAGCACACCGGCAGGTCGAGGTCGGGCCCGCCCGTGGACAGCCGCAGGCGCAGCGCCAGCGACACGCCGCCCTCCACCGGCTCTGAGCACTCGGCCGGCGAGTCTCTGCCGCTCGCCTCCTTCACCATGTTTATTGGTGCCGATAGACAGTATATTGGTACCTGGGTGTTATATTTAGTATATTAACTTATGGTCCAAGGCTCGTGAACCATGGAAGTTAACGGTGTTCCTGTAAGGCTGGAAATTCTTTCATGTCTCATAGCATGTTAAGTACGGTAACCAAAAACCTGACAGACACCACCTGTACTTACATCATCGGACCTTTTATTTTAAAAGTGTAAAAAAACTTGTCATCTAGGACTTGGTTCATAGAGTGTAAAATAAAAAAAGGACAAGCGATTTTAAAAACCTGACAGGTGAATCAAAAGGTGTCCAAAGCTCTCAGTCTATTAATATTATGAAGAGGTAAAGTTTTTAAGTTAGATTCCGAAAATTCTATAATAACATCCTACATTACTGTTGAATGCTATAAGCTATTTTTATTGTGATAAAAATGTTTTTTCTGTCAGAAATCATTCAATACCATTTTGTTAATGACTTGAAAGCGTGCCAGTTGAGAACAGATTAATTCGCCAATGTCAATCATCATCATCATCGTAAATAGATAAAATGTCAATAATCATAATGACATAAATAAAAATCGAAAAAATATATCCATTGAGTCGGCGTACTCTGCCTCAACAGTTGAAAACAAGTAATAAATTGTATGACCAAAAGACAACTACGGACGAATTTGGCGAACGACAGTTGCTAATTAATTACATAAAAATATGTTCTTTGTTTTTTTGGCTATAATATACAACTGCAGACCCTCAGGTTCCGAGTTTCAATCCCTGCTTGGGTCATACCCCTGCCGATGCTGAGTACTTAATACCGTCAGCGTTACGCGATATCTTTCTATGATCGAGTGGGATTGTTAAATAATAATTTTCAGTGATTTTCTATCATAAAATGGCAAAGTAATTGTAATTGGTTGGGCAGTGGTTAGTTTAAACTTTAAAGGAACTGTGTAAAATGTCAATAACCAATGTAAATAAAATTCCACAAAACTAACAATAAAAAAAACTACCCACAACTGTATGGCACAGAAGTACTACAAGGGCTGAGCCCAAATAAATTGGGATAATAGCCAGGAAAAAGAAGAAGAAGAAAGCTGACTATCATAATATATTATGTGAAATAAAGTAAGTAAAATGATTACTTTATTATGTGAAAATTGCTTGTAATTTGGCAGTCTACTTGTATATCTTAAACTGGTACAATTTGTATGAATAAATCCATCACACCACATGAATTACAATGAATCATTAGTTCAGAATGTCTTAAATTATTTATGAACTTTGTAGACAGTTACTGAGTCACTACAATTTTTGTGGTATACATTTTAATAATAATATCTTTGTGACCAAATTTGTCTGTGCCATTCAATTTCAAAGTAACTATCCACATATAATGAATGTATTATATTAAATATTACGTACACAAACACTCCTCCAAGTGTGTGTTCACTCTACATATTACACCGAAACTCTGGTGAGGTAACAATTCCACACATTCTATGAAAGATCAGGAGCAGGAATGATAGATTAAAGTGAATAAGGGGATATTGCACTGCCAGCATTTCTTGATAAAAAAAAACCCAATAAGATCATGTATAGTGGACCTAAGCTAGGACTCAAACCTAGGACCTCTGGATTTGCAGTAATTTCTGTCTACAATACAAACAATGCACTGAGTTTGAGTCTTGTATTGTGCCAAGTTTAGTTCTTGAAGTAAAAAGAAAATTTTGATTGAAAATTATATGAGTTTTCAAGATAGGGGTTGTTAGGGCCTGAGGCATAGGAAGGTAGTTCACAATTATGGTTATAATACAGATTTTAAAATAAAAATCTATACTAGCTTTTGAGGTCTTCTAATGTCAATTATTAATAATTTACACATGATATTATATAAACACAAAAGATTTAACCCTTACACATCTATATCGTTTTAGTCCAATACAAACAAAACAGACAAGGTATGTGTGGATGCTTAATAATATTTCACAATGGCATACTTTTTGCATTTTTAATTGCTATTTAACGACTTTACTGTAATGTTAAGATAAGATTTTTTCTTTTACTATGTATATAATATCTAGTTTAAAAATACACTTTAATTATACAACTTTAAATAAAGCACCTGAATGTATTAGGCCTAAAAAACATTAATTTATTAGAGATATACTAACATAAAGATAATTAGAATATGAAGTCATAGTGTTATGTGATAACAGAACATTTAAATACAGATTATTTCAGTTTAGAGCTACTTAAAAATCAATATATCATTAGAAGAAGGTGACTTTCATGAGGCTTATAATAAAGGCTTATAATATACAGTATTCAATTAGGAAATAAATATGAGATTTTTAATGATGGTCTTATTTTTACAATTAAAAAGATCAGAAATCAATTACCTGGTATCTGGTCCCCCATTCATCATAGCACTCTGTGAGATATCCATTAGGCACTGACACACTTGCTCCATCAAGAATAGCCTGGGCTAATTGAAAATCCATTGCTTCTGCAGCAACCGCCGCCGCCCGTAAGGCATCCCATATTTCTTTACGACCTTCAAAAGCCGGAGCCGTGTCCCAGAACTCATCTCGTTTACTCCTTAATTGGCCTTCAGTCAATGGCACGTCAGATTTCCATCGTATAGTCTCATGACACAGCGACTGGTTCTTCCGTAATCCACCTAAAACAAAGACCACTTTAGTACATAAGCACGCACGTCTCCACGGCGACAATCGGTCACCTACCCGAATTAGGCCGTGACACGGTTCCCGACGATTCTTCTATGGGCCCACTTCTGCTTCTAGTTATTCCTATGCAGCCGCCCATTTTAATCACATTCTATATTCACTCATCTACACTATATTTACAAAAAAATATTAACAAATAACATTTTATCGCCTGTCCAATCCTGTCAAAAAGATAGCTGTACAAGTTTCGTTATTGCATAGATTTTATATGCAAACGTCACTATTAAATTATTTAAACGTTTTTGATATGAATAAAGGAATTGCAACACGCAATAGAATTTTTCAAATATTTTAGTAACATTGATATTTAAATATAATAGTGAACCTTATAAATCTTATTTATTATAAAATAATTGTTAGTATCTCAGTTATTGCTTATGTAAATGAAATAACAAAACGTTCTTATATGCAAGCTATTTGCCAAACTAAAATTATTTTTTTCAAAAATAGCTTTATCAAAAATACTAAATATGAATATGAAAATAAGTAGAAAAAAATATTATTTAATAGTTTACGGTAATATTTACTTTAAAAAAAGCAAAGGGGACAACCTAACGATTTATGTCTCTATGTCAAAACTTAACGTCAGTCGTCAACTTGACAACTTCAAACTTGTCATTTGTGACTTGTGACTCTATTTCGTATCGTAAACATTAGTTTTCAAAATAAACAAATAAAATGTCTATCTAACAAATAAATTATCTATATATAGATTGCAATTTATTGTGATCGATAGATAGATATACTAATACATTACTGGATACTTAACTTGTAAGTTAATTTATAACATTTTACAGAAAACGGAAAAACCAGTGATATGTTGAAAAACAACATTTTTATCAATAACTTTAAAATATTAAATGTAAGTAAGGCTAAACTTAAAAAAATATATATTTCTAAATGTAAAATATGATATTATATCTCAAGATTTTTGTTTTATAGGTTGATCCAACTGCATATTATATACCTGAATTCATAACACCAGATGAAGAAAAGCATCTTCTTTCAAATATTTACAGTGTACCAATTCCAAAATGGACTCAACTTTCCAATAGAAGATTACAAAATTGGGGTGGGATTCCTCATAGCAAGGGCATGATAGCTGAAGAAATACCACAGTGGCTGCAAACATATCTTAACAAAATACATGAATTGAATTTAATGAATGGAAATAAGCCTAATCATGTGCTAGTAAATGAATATTTACCTAATCAAGGGATTTTACCACATTTAGATGGATCCTTATTCTATCCAACCATAACTACTGTATCTATTGGTTCTCATACTGTCTTAAAATTTTTTGAACCCATATCTACAGAAAATGTATCACTAAAACCAACATTTTCAATACTTCTAGAACCTAGGAGCTTATTAGTTTTACAAGATAAGTTGTTTCATTATTATTTACATAGTATAGAAGAGGTAAAAGAGGATCTTTTGAATGATTCTATTGTAAACTTAAATATGTGTTCTGAAAAATATGTGAAAAATACAACAATTTCACGAGATACAAGAATATCATTGACGATTAGACATGTTCCTAAAACAACAAGATTTAAACTAAATATTGGGAAGAAGAGCTGATTATGGATAAAATCTTTTGTAATTAATTAAAATGAAATAATATTGATGATGCACATGTGCATCACTTAACTTTAATACCTTAAAAATAATTATTACTGGAATTTTACAAAAAGGCTATTTTTTATAAACATCTTGTAACAATTTTTAATTTCTATTCTGTTTTATATGATCATTTAAGTATTCTTTTTATTATTTACTTAGTCTAAACGTATTTTTATAATAAAATGAATAAAATACTTTTTTGTAAATTTTAAATTGTATTAACTAATTTTTTACATCCTTTTCATAAACAAGAATGATAATGGTGGCCTTATATCAATGTAATATTAGTGCATACAATTATTTTGACTAAAGATGAAATACTGGACTAGTTTCTTTTTTATGTATGTATGTATGTATCCAGCTCTTTTTGACATCCTACTGCTGGGCACAGTTCTTCCTTCAATTCCAGGAGGAACGGGCCATAGTCCATCACACTGGCCGAGTGCGGGTTAATTTGTTTTTAAGAAAAAATAAAGTTACTTTAACAATAGGCAAGTCTCATACTACTATTTTAATATCTGCATCTGGGAATCAAATTTCTTTATTGATCGCCTCATGATATTTGCTAACTAACACTTCACTATAATCACTCAACACTTGGTGGAACAATAAAGTAATTTAAACTGATTTATTTTTAAAAAATACTGTCAAAACAAGAACATGTATTATGTAATAGTACTTTTATTTCCTTTTTTTAAACTGATAATTTACTTGATACAATGAGGTCTTTTTTTAAATTTACAAAAAAAATAATTAAAATCTAGTTGGCTCATTTTTGTACAAATATTTATTTCTATACGTTTTATTTTTACGATGATTTCTAAATTATTTTCTAGTGCAAATTTATTTAAGAATGGGGCAATTTCTAGTAGAATTCTTGTAAAATTTTATAGCACAGGTAGTGATGGAGAGAAGTATGAAAAAGAGGGAGTTGAATGCCAGGGACAAGATGCTAGTTCTGGCGACAATAAGGTAAGACAAGAATCATTATTATTTCTATACATAGGTATAATAAAATTCTGAGTTGAATCTGTACATTAAATATTTTTTGGAAAATCTTATTGAAATAGTCATTATCCCCTCTCAGTGTTTACGTGTATTTGTTGGTGAATGTTATGTACACTAGTTATTGATATACATATCATCATATTTTCAATTTTCTTAATATGTTGTGTGATAATGTTAAATATGTATATTGTAAGTGTGCTTATAAAATAAATAAATTATTATCCATACTGAGGCTGAATCTATAGTTTTTGAATTTTTGTCTGTCTGTCTGGGAACATATCATGAATAAACCACTGGATAGATTTTGGGTATGATGATAGCTGGTTATCCGGGTCAACATATAGACTTGCTCATATTGGTGTAAGTTGTATACATGTACCATTAAAATTGCTGCTTGCTGGTTATGTATTTATTGTATTTATACTAGTGACTACTAGTTATAACTATACTAGGTTAGGAGACGTTGCGGATATACACGCAGTAACTCAACAAAGTTATACAAAATGTTACAAAAAGACAATACAATATTTTAAGGAAATAAAATTCGGTGATCACGTGGCTGGTAGGTAGACCCTTTTCATAGGTCGCCCAGTGCTAGTTGATCAAAGTAATTTCTGCGCTCCAATATCTTTAGTTTTCCTGTAGGAATTTAAAGATTTAGTTAGAATTTTTAATAGCCCGTTTGATGGATATATGTATTGGATAAAGAGTACAATATGCTTTAAATATAAACTCAACGATCAACTTCAACGTACCTATGTGGGTTTGAATTTATTTCGGCAAGTTCAGATTCCCTACGCAATTTTTTAAAAGATATCATATTTTACTTTGGAAATGGACGATAATTACGGATGAAGTTCTTAAGTACCTCTGAATATATTTTCAGGATGGCCTGGTGCTCGGCGTGTACGAGACAGATAAAAAGTTGGAGCTCTCGCCCGCCGCTGCGGAGGTCGATCAGAAAAGCGGCGGCAAAATTAGCAGATATTTGAATGAGTGAGTATAAAATAATTAAAAATATATATAACTATCGACTCACAATTGATGAAGATATACAAAAAAAAAAAACAACCGAATTATATACCTCCTTCTTTTAAAGTCGGTCAAAGAATGGATTTTTGTCCGTTCTATACAAATTCCAAGAAGCATTAAAGGATTTCGTCTGTCATCGGGACTACTATAGAATTAAATGTGAAAGTTTGTTTTCAAGTATTCAGCCCTTGTTTTTAACGTCCCACTGCTGGGGGTGGGCCTCCCTTCAATACGAGGGGGATCAGGCCATAGTCCACCACGCTGGCCGAGTGCGGGTTGGCGGACTTCACATGTCTTTTGAAAACTTGCTAGGTTCTCAGACATGCAGGTTTCCTCACGATGTTTTCCTTCACCGTTAAGACAAGTGGTAATGAAATGATTCGCACATGAAAATATCAGAGGTGCGAGACCCGGGATTTGAACCCGCTTTACTCGGTCTCCCGAGCGAGCGCGTTACCACTGGGCTACCACTGCCTTAGAAAGTTTGTATGTATGTTTGTTACTCCTTTACACTGAAAACGTGTCATATGTTCCAGGATATCCAGTCGCCTGAAGCCTGGCAAAGCGTTTGTAGTGACCGACGTGGTGCCAGAGTTCGGTCCCGTCGCGATATCAGCTCTGGGCCCGAAGGACGCCGGCTACAACGAGCTGGAGGCCTTGGACGAAAGCCGGGTAATGTTATATATATCTTAGCATGCTTTGATATACTACACTCGAGAAGAATTTTATAAAATGTGTTCAATAAAGTAGTGTATAAAATAAAGCAAAATAGATAAACAATTCATAAAATACACATAGCGATATATGAATTTTTTTGGCTCCTGCAATACAGGAATCGGTTGTGATGAAATCCATAATGAATCGAAACTTCTACTACTTGTGGATACGATGGACAGAACGCGTGTGAATTTAAGTATTTCCTTCGTATTATTAAAACAAATACACATTTTGAAAATGTAAACTGTATATGATATAGAAAACGTATAATTTTGTTATTTTTAAAAACCTGATGAACTTCGTTGAATTATTTACGCCGCACTAAGGGTTTATTTTGTTTTTTAGAGATCATTTTGAATTTTTTTCTATCGAGGAAACTATAAGTAATCGTGTTTCTATAGTGTATGATTTATAAAATAAATCCTTAAATATCCTACATATTAATTACATAATTAAAGTTTTAGTAATAACAATACAGCAAGGGATCAAACGACCGCAATTATTTCGTAATTGCCTCGGTGCGCCCTTAATGACTAGGCAATGTAAAATGAGCACAGCACAAGCACAGATGACCTATTTTTCGAGCAATATAATGAACGTTGTAGGAAAACGTGCGCGTGATGGCGGGCGCGGGCGTGCGCGCGCTGGCGGCGCGCGGCGCCGCGCGCGTGGCCGTGGACGGCGCCAGCGCGCCCGACGCCGCCGCGGAGGCGGCGCATCTGGCGGCTTGGAGGTCACTTGGTTAAGCCGATCAAAAAATTACTAGGTACACAATCAGCGGCAAAAAATGTCCTCGCCGAATGAGCGCTCATGTGAACTTTTGAGCGCGCTTTTATTTGTTTTTTTCTGTTAAAACAATTTTGGTTTGTGTATCTAGTGCTTTTTTGATCGATGTTTTATACGACGTATTAATATAAAAAATGAAAAAAGGTTTTGTTCTTCTGATGTTCTATCTGTGGATTTCACCTACTAAAAGACAACCGTTTTTTTGGAGGTATCATTAAATTTTCTTTAAATACTTGATCTTCAAGAACTTGTCCGGGAATGTTATTGAAATATTTTTTGTAATTTTTATAAAAGGCATTAAACGTTTTTTAGCGCTTTTTAACGTCCCACTGCTGGGCACGGGCCTCCCTTCAATACGAGGGGGATAAGGCCATAGTCCACCACGCTGGTCGAGCGCGGGGCGGATTGAGTATGTCTATCGATAAATTATTTTAAACATGCAGATTTCCCATTCCATACTAATATTATAAATGTGAAAGTGTGTTTGTTTGTTTGTCTGTCCTTCTTTCACTTCGAAACGGAGAGATGGATTGGCGTGATTTTTTGTGTGGAGATAGTTGGAGGGCTGGAGATTCACATAGGCTACTTTTTATCGCGGGAGATTATCTCATTCCCACGGGAAAACACGTTCTAATAAAATCCAAAAACATATTTATGATCAGAGTTACTTGAATTTTGGTAGGTATTAATGCTCTACAATAAAATTAAATAAATACGTATTTTAGCATTTTTCCAAATTCGTCTCATAAGGGGGTAAAATAGGAGATGAAAGTTTGTATGAAACTATTTTTTTAGAGATTTTTTTTGTAGTTTTAGCGCGAGCGAAGCCGCGGTTTTTGCTAGTAATTTAATAATTTTATAATTTGCAACAGATTCGAAGAGTTCAAAAGCGACAAGCAGCCAGAGACCCAACTGTACCTGTACGGCGCGGGCGGGGGCGAGGGCGGGGGCGAGGGCGGGGGCGAGGGCGGGGGCGGGGGTGAGGGCGAGGGCGGGGGCGGATGCGAGGGCGGGAGCAGGTGGGCGGCGGGCGCGGTGTACGGGCGCGCGCAGAACTGGGCGCGTTACCTCTCAGATATGCCTGCTAACAAGATGACCCCCGTAGATTTTGCCCAAGTTAGCATCTTGGTTTGCATTGAATAATTATACGTATAATAATTTAGCCTCTGGTTGGTCAGGTGTCAAGGTTACGCTAATAATATTAATATGATTTAGTATGATTAACCATTAAGGGGCTATATAATTATTTGTTGATTTGTTATTTTTTAGTGTAAGGATTTTTAATGTCACCTTTTGTTGAGACAAGTGATATTCAAAAAAAAGTGTGAGCTGATGACTTCTGGTTTTAAAAGTTTGCTAAGAGTTTTAGTGTGTTTGTGTGACGGCATTTGGAGCTACAAATACCCCAGACTCTCACACTCAACTCACGTGGACTAAAATTAATCTCAAGGAGAACTCCTTTTCTCGTAATTTTACAGAATTGTCTAGCAATTGACATGATATACCTACCTACCTTTCAGCAATATAGCTGCAATAGTTTCTGAGTAATATTATAGCGACATATGGAGGGACGGACGTACAAATTATAAAGATTTCGTTTTTGCCTCTTTGCTACGCCAAAAACAAAACTTGCATTATACTAAGTAAATTTACCGCATAGGCCTGGTTAAAAAAAGGTTTTAGTATATTCGTGTGATGAGTTGTTCAGTTTTAATGTGATAATCAACCGACTTTTTCATAAAGGAGGAGGTTCTCAATTCGACTGTATGTTTTTTTTATGTTTCGAAAATACCTGTTTTAGCCCAATCGAAATCCGGTTTGGGGACAAAATATTGAAAGCCGGAAGTTTTATCATTTTAAAATGTTAGGTATATATAAGGTATATAAGGAATAGAAATTCGTAAAATGCCCCCTATGCCCATCTACCTCCGAGAAATAGGGGGGCGCAAAGAGTTGAAAAATAGTTTTTTTTTTCAATTTTCGGCTTACTGTGATGTTCTATCGAAAAATGTTTTCTACAACAGTTGTAGGTCTAGTAAAAATTTACAACTTTTATAAGTAACACTTTTTCCAATAACTTCAAAGTTTTTGAATTGAAAAAAATGTAGTTTACAAAGTAAAAATTATCGATTTCTCCAATTTTAAAATTTTTTAAGGATGTTTTTACAGGAAGACCATACAATGTCTTTATTTTTTCAAAAAGTAGAGTTCAATGCGAAAAGAATAAGCCGTATCTGAAAATTAAACGATTTTTTTTTTAAATGTACGTTCACTTGAAGTTGGGGGTAATGGGGGTAATCAGCCTCTCAAGACCATAACACATACTTTTCTCGGAAATGGCTAAACATTTCAATTTTTTTTTTTTTTATTTATTATATGTATTTCAAAAATTACATTCTCAAAGTTTCATGAAAATCAAAAGATTATTCTAGAAATAAAAAGTAAAATATTAAGAAAAGTTAAAAAAGTTTTTGTAAAAAATGTTATTTATAAAAGTTGTAGATTTTTATTAGACCTACAACTTTTGTACAAAACATTTTTCGATAGAACGTCATAGTAAGCCGGAAATTGAAAAAAACTATTTTTCAACGCTTTTCGTCCCTCCATTTCTTGGGGGTAGATGGGCTAATGGGCCATTTTACGACTTTCTGTTCCTTATATACGTGCTAACATTTTAAAATCATAAAACTTCAGGTTTTCAATATATATTTTTTTCTTTCAAAAAAAATCGGATTTCGATCGGTCTATTTAGGCATCTGTAGTAAATGAAAACTACCAATCAGCTATTTTTTTTAATGATTAGTGTTTTTTCTTTGAAGTCGGTTTATTTTACGTTGGCTGATAATAAGTTCTTTATAATAATAATACACTGGCGTGCAAAAAAAATCGGGCCACCCTTAATTTTAAGCATAATTTTTTGTTGACAATTGTTTGGTGAAAAAAAATACCGCAAAGGTAATTAAGGAGATTAGACGCCTTTAAAATTCCTGGAAATGCACGTGTGCGCTTAATTATAGTGAATTAGCAGTAATTAGTGAATATTTGCATAATATGGATTGAAGCCACAAATACTGTTTTTTGTTATTTTAGAAGCTTAGTTGAGTTCCAATTATTGAACAAGACACTTGTACTTTGATCTGCGATTATTAGAAATACTGCCAGATGGATCTGACTGAGGCTGAATCATCTCGAATTGTGACTTTGCTTGAAACTGGACAAAGTCAACGTCAAGTGGCTCAAGCTTTTTCTGTGAGCCGTTCTACGGTCCAGAGAGTGTACAAACGTTACATAGAGACTGGTGGCTTTGTACGACGACAGGGTTCCAGCCGACGAAGAGCCACATCAGAACGTGATGATCGATTTTTTGTGTCATCAGCTCTAAGAAATCGTCATCGCCAGGGGTTGACGTTCGAAATCTCCTGAGAGAAGTAAGAGGTTAATGTTAGCGAGTGGACAGTAAGGCGCCGACTTAGAGCCGCTTCCCTGATGCCACGTAAGTCCGCAACTGGCCCCAAACTCACCCACTGCACATCGAATTGCAAGATTACTTTTTGCCCGAGATCACGTGAATTGGAATTTGGAGCAGTGGAAGAAGGTTCTTATTACTGACGAAAGCAGAATGTGTTTGCATGGTGCCGACAGCCGTAATTTTGTTTACCGCCGATCAAGTGAAAGATATGCACCATGCACTATGCGGGAAACAGTGTCATATGGAGGGGGCTCAGTTATGTTTTGGGCAGGATTCTGTTACGAAAACCGAGCTTATATTCATAGAAAATGGATCCCTTACAGCCGCTAGGTATATAACGGAGGTTTTAGAAGATCATGTGATGCCTTTTACTGGGTTCATTGGAGAAGATTTTCTGCTTCTACAAGATAATGCTCGCCCACACACTGCTACATCAGTAAGGCAGTATCTTCAAGAGGTCGGAGTGTCTACTATTGCCTGGCCAGCGCGAAGCCCTGACCTCAATCCGATAGAGCATGCATGGGACCATCTCAAAAGAAAAGTTAGAAGCCGCGTAGTAGTCCCGAGCAACATTCAAGAATTAAAAAGCGCCTTATTGGAAGAATGGGAGTCTATTACACAAGATTATCTAAAAAAGTGTGTCAAATCTCTGAAAAACCGATTAAAAGCTGTAATTAAAAATAGAGGCGGTAATACGCATTATTAAAAATCATAAAACCAATCGAAATCTTTTAATTTTCCCATTAATTTGCGGCTTACATTTTTATACTAAACTCGCGAAAAATCATTAAATTTGATTTTCCTCTATTTTCGAGCAATAATTTTTATTTAAATTATTCAACGATTATTGATTTAAGTACCTAGGGTATACAGCTACCCATATATAATAACAAAATTAATAAAAAAATATCATATCTTAAGTTTGTCCATTTTCTCTAGGTGGCCCGATTTTTTTGCACGCCAGTGTAAGTTCTTTATTTCCAAAAGGTAGTACAACCAGATATTTGCTTAACACTTGATAAATCTAATTTGGTACATACAAATATTTGAAACAGCATCTGCACCCGAACTAGGAGACCTGTGTTACAGTGAAAGTGAAGGTTGTAGTGTGTGTGTGTCGGTGTGCGCAGGCGGCGCTGGACACGCTGTGCCCGCTGGGCGTGCAGGTGGCGGCGCACGAGCGCGAGTGGCTGGCGGCGCAGCGCATGCGCGCGCTGCTGGCCGCCGCCGCCGGCGCCGCCGCGCCGCCACTGCTGCTGCACTGCCGCTACTCCCCGCCCGCCGCCGCCGCCGCCCTGCCGCCCGTGCTGCTCGTCGCGCAGGGGACCACGTTCGACAGGTCACTTGTCACCTGTTACTTTGACAGTAACCAGTACCACGAGGGGCGGTCCCGAGGGCGGTTCTATGTATAGGTTTTTTGGGCTACGGCTCAGGACCCCTAAGATATGTGTTGTGTTGTTGTTGGGACATTAACACACAGCACCATCTAGTTCCATTGTAAGCTACGAGGCTTGTGTTCTGGGTACCAGATAGTTGATACACTATACATATATAATTTTAAATACATACATATTATAAATATAAACACCCATGACTGGAGTACAAACATTCGTGCTCTTCGCACAAATGAATGCAGCCAGCGGGACTCGAACCCGCGACCGCTGGCACAGCAAGTAGGGTCGCTACAAACTGAGCCAAACGTGTCGTCAAATTATGATTAAGTCAGTTTAAGGATTCGTTCATATTTGATCTACCAGTATTTGAATGGATTCTTATATACATACATAGGAATGAAATGTGCGTCTCTACACATTGATCATATATTCTTTACTTTGATTATAAAGAGTAATTAATTTTATGAAATTAATTGCCTTCAATCTTATCCTCAAATATGAATTTCGCAAATATGCAGACTCACGATGTCTTCATTCCTAGACATATTTTAATCATGTTAGAAATGATTCGCACATGAAAATATCAGAAGTGCGAGCCCCGGGATTCGAACCCACTTCACTCGGTTCCCCAAGCGAGCGCGTTACCACTGGGTTATTTACCACAATATCTTAAAAAGTTTCCATTGGTTATCAATATGAACCTACGACATTGTGCCGGCAGCGGCGGCCTGTGCCTGAAGCCGGCGGCGCGGCTGCGCGAGGCGCGCGGTGACGTGGCGGGCGCCGCCGCCGCGCTCGCCGCGCTGCGCGTGCTCGCTGAGCTGAAGGTCTGTGTTTGCTGGTGTCGCTGGTAGTGCCACTGGTACTGGTGTTACTGCTGGCAGTAAACTTATTCATTATATGGGAATTATACTGGCTCGTGCAATACAGTTTTTACGACCGCCGGGGTAGAAAATTCTTTATCACTTGTATCTTTAAAATTATGGCAATAAAGAATAGATTATTATTAATTATTGGGTAAGAAGTAGCTTAAGTTGTAAAATAATTTGAAATGTATGGAAAAACAAAACATTAATGACTAGCAGAACTGTCTGGACTGCGAGCTATCTGTATTGTTATATTAATAAAATAAATAATTATAACTTCGATATTTTAAAGAGCAACTACTGAGTTTTTCTTAGGCTCCTCTCGACAGAACTGCTTTCCGAGCCGGTGGTAGCCTCAAGGACTAACTGCACGGGACTGGACTGACACTCTTTGAATTATATCGACAATTTAAAAGTGCTTATAATCTAAATAATAATCCTAATTGGATGTTTATTTCATTGCACTGGTGGCAGTACCGCTGGTACTGGTACTGACTGATGCTACTGGTAGTGTATGTGTGCAGGTGCCGCTGCCGGTGGTGTGCGTGGTGCCGCTGTGCGAGAACATGGCGGGCGCGGCGTGCATGAAGGTGGGCGACGTGCTGCCCACGCTCTCCGGCCTGCACGTTGTGGTAACCGACTTTGTTTGATATACATGACCACATTTGATGTCATATAAAACATTATTTAATAAGGTTATTATTCGGGGTGTGCGATTCGGAACGAATAATTCGAATTCACGAATTATTTGCTCCGAATTGAATAATTAATTCGAAACTCGAATCGAATAATTCGAATTATTCGAAAGTTCCCGAATAATTCGAAAAAAATCGAAAAATTTCGAATAACACAATTTTTTCGAATTATTCGCGAATTATTAATTATTCGCATATTTCCGAGTATTTTGAATTCAGAGTTGTTTATGTTCGATATCCAAATATAAAATTAACAATTAATGAGATATAATTATAGAATCAAATTCTATATACAAAACTTAACCAAAAAAACTAAATTTTTGTCTGTCTGTGTGTGTCATCACGAGAAAACCACTGGATAGATTTTGATGAAATTTAGTATGTTGATAGTTAGTTTTCTGGATTAACACATAGGATACTTTTTATTGCGGGAAAATATCACCTCTTTGAGATATCTATATTAAACGTTAAAACGTAAGTAGGGACGAACCCTAGTGGAGCGAGGGTGAGTCGCTAGTTTATTATAAGAGTGTTGTTATGAGCCGGTCGTGTCGTGTGCGGCGCAGGTAGAGGACACGACGGCGGCGACGCGGCCGGCGCTGGCGGACGCGCTGGTGTTCGCGCAGGCGCTGCACCGCCCCGCGCTCGTGCTCGGCCTCTCCGCGCTCGCCGGTTTCTCGCACTCACACTACACTTACACTACTTATCCAGAGTCATCCGCCTTCGTTAGAGTTCATCTACATATACAGATAAATAAACTGTTATCTGTAATATCAAAATAACAACTTTTTACTAAATGCATATAGAATTATATACGGTATTTATAAGAAATACAGTTTAAAAAAAAAATGTCTGTTTGTTCCGAAACGGCTGGGCCAATTTTGATAGGACTTTCACTGACATGTAGTTGATGTTATAAGGAGTAACTTAGATAACTTTTTTCAGTAAAAAAATTAGGATTCCGCTTAAAAAAAATTAAAATGTACCTAGGGACAAACCCGAGTGAAGCGAGGGTGAGTCGCTAATTTAATTAATAAAAACCATCTCGCTCTAATTTCTTTATAACTGTTGTATGTAAAGCCCAGTGATAATGTTCGCTTGGAAACCGAGTAAAGTGGGTTCAAATCCCGGCTCCCAAATCTCTATTTTCATATGTCAATCATTTTTGCAACATAATTTCCATTTATTTTAAGATGAACTTAGTAAGTTTAACAAAAACAGCTCGTCCGCATTTGACCAGCGTGGTGGACTATGATTTGATTCCCCTCACATTAAAGAGAAACCCACTTCCCGTAATGGGTTGTTAAAAAGAGCGGAATACTGATGTCCATTATAACATTTTTTTATTTATATGAGTATCCGTAATATAATGCAAACAATATTTAGGGTAATTATTAAAATACATTATAATTTCAATAAAATAACAATAACGTGCTTATTATAATATTTTTTACGATCAGAATCTCTCATAATATATTTATTTATTTATTCATTTATTTATGTACCATAAAATATACGTTATACAATTATTTTATATAGTTATTTTATTCTAACAAACCTTTCTAAATGCGAAAGTTTGAATGTATGGATGTTTGTCACTCAATTACGCCAAAACAGCTTAATCGATTTTCATGAAATTTGGCATAGAGATAGATTATAGTTTAAAATAGCACATAGGTTACTTTTTATCTCAAAAAGATGTACGGTTTCCGTGATATAAGTAATAAAGCGGTCACCCATTAGCACGAATTTCGCGATTATTTATTGCAATACAAACGGCAGACATGGGTTTCGATAAATTTTAAAAGAAATGTTACGCTATCAAGATATATTAGGATACATTTTAAACACTGTCCATAGAGCTCATATTTTTTTTGTATCTTTATATGTACTTCTGTTGGAGGTTCTCGATAAATAAAGTGTGTGCTTGCAGACGAGTGCGCGCGCGCGACGGGCGCGGCCGCCTTCGCGTGCTTCAGCAACAGCGCGGCGGCGTGGCGCGGCCTGCGCGCGGCGGGCGCGCGCGCCGGCGACCGGCCCTGGCGCCTGCCGCTGTGGCGCTGCTACGACCGCGGCCTCGAGGGTAAGCCGATCTCGTTGAGACTGGCCGACTGCGCAGGAGATATTATAGTGCAGCGCAGACACTACGTGCACTCTCTGTTCCTGTCACTCTCATACTCCGGTGGGACGACGCGAGACACGACCGGTGAGAGTTAAGGCGCATGAGCGACGCGACGCGTGCTCTGCCTCGGCACGGGGGTGAAACACAACCAATTTCTCAACTCCGGCCTGTTACTGAGGCTTACTACACAAAAAGACTCAATAACTAAACTCGACCCGACCCGGGACTCGAACCCTGGACCTCCGGGTGTGCATCCGTACATGCTAGCCACTACAACACCCAGCAGATATTATACATAGTACAAAAAAATATGTAATTAATGTATTGTGTAAATTGCATCCCCAGATGACCCGGCCGTGGACTTAAGAAACAAAGGATCCGGTGTAGCATCACCTTGTCATGGAGCAGCTTTTTTAAAGGTATATCTATTATTTAAAGAAATACCGGATAAACACAACCTCCTCCTTTTTGGAAATTCGGTAAAAATAGTATAGCGTTACTTTATTGACATTAATTGATTAATATATTTCAATATTTTTATAATTGATCTATAAAAAGTACACTGTACACACATTTTGTATGACTTACGCATGCAAACCTACATGTAGATATTTATTATATGTATAACATAATTCTATTTTTCTATATTATTCCCTGTTTTCCAATTGCAGAGCATAATGCTCGCTTCGCGCTTCGCGCTTTTGTTTTCTGCTACTGAGTTCGTTGGTCATGCCAAAGCAGTACTTTTAAAATTATGCGGAGTGTTGCTGTAGTTGAAAAAATCGAAGTTAAGCATTATGCCGCATAATGCGCGTTAGTGTTGTAATTGGAAAACAGAATTATGTACTCGTAACTAGCGACTTACGTTCGCTTCACTCGGGTGCGTCTAGGTTCTAAAAGTAGCTCATGTCACTCTAGGTCATAGAGTGGGTTTTAGAGAGTAGGGGATTCCTAATTTTACTTTATTTAATGATTATTAACTAAAACCCAAAGAGGAACCTTAACATTGATGTAGTGCAATGGGGCGTTGTAGAATTTCTTGGTAGTGACCATTGAACACAGTAGACAATAAAGGCCGTTCAGTTATTAACTAACCTAACCAGAACTCGGAAACCCGTTAAATTTTTAAAGCGTTTTTGGTCATTGGCTCCAAACCGAAAGATTTTTCGGTTTCAGGTTTCGGTTACGTTCTTTCATGTTTTCAGATTTCATGATTAAAATTAACCGGTTAAAATTACTTTTTGTGCTTTACTTTTGGCGAATCTTCGCTAATGGTGAATTGCTTAGTAGAAGGATTCATGCATGTTTCTTACTTATGAATGAATTAAACGGTTTATTTCGGTATTAAAACCGAAATCCAATCTTTCTCTAAGAATAACCGTTAATAATCATTATTTCGGTTCACTATAGCGTTCGTTTTCATTAACCGGTTAAACAACGAGCAATGAATTAACCATTACATTACCGAAATAAACCAGTTTTTTTTAAATCGGTTTCGAGCCCTGCCAGTTATACATACATATATGTACATATTATACTCCCAACCCAACAGAAATTCATCTGCGGTCCATGGGTGCACATGGACCCGTCGGGCGTGGCGCGCGCGCCGCCCGGCGGCTACCTGCGCGAGCGCCGCGCCTCGGGCCGCCCCACGCGCACCCTCGCCGCCTTCCTCGCCGACATGGCGCGCCGGCGCGACGCTAACACTGACAGCGACGCTACGGGATAGTATTCTATTTGGTTTTAATAAACTATATTGTTTAAAACTAAGTTTCATTTTAATTTTGGTAGTTTCTCCTACGCTTGATATGTGGTGTTACCCTAGTCAAAGATATCGAGTGCCATCGTAGACTCGATGGTGCTCGTCCATGCAGGCACCTAACAGACAGGAAAAATATAACGACAATAACTACATACATATATTGTAATTTTGCACAGGTCGCATGATTTTATTAATATAGTGAACATTACGGGCAATGTTTCAGTTTTTTACACATGTTAGTTACAAATGAAGCTTATTATCATTTGTAACTAACAGTGTTATTAAATCTTGGAAGTCAATTTTAATCTTTTATGGATACATTGATTTAAAAAGTCAATGCAATCTTTTGATACTTTCAAATTAATCTGATTAATGGAGCTAAGGATAGTTGAACCCATAATACCTACTTAGATTTACGTGAATATTTGACATATTAAATAAAACTATCTTTTCAAATTGTTTCTTGGTTTTAGTTTAGAAACCAAAAATCTAGACAAATCCGCGAAAAAATCCAAAAAGATAGTTTTATTTAAAATAGTTGAACCCTTCAATCGCTAATAGTATAGAATTATGTAATCTGTGCTACTAATTACATTCGAGTAAAGGCTCACACTTACCATTCATTTCAAAAGCCTTTTAGTATTTTAAGATTTCTTAGATAATAACAACAATTGTCAATTATTATTGTTAAAGCTTATCAAGTCTTAGAATTCCATTTTAACGTTTCGCATGACTCACTACGAGATAAACTTGTTCAGGTCTACACATTATTTCGAAGAATAAATATTCAAATTTCGAAAAAATATTGTTATTAATCTATCATATACTGTTACGTGTAATATTCATGTACCATAATCTAATGTTGAATCTCGTTAATAGCAAAAACAATATTTCAAATTGTAAATTAAGTTTTCTTTACAATATATAATGTTACGTCATTAAGTTCGTTTGTTAACTAATTGCAGTAGTGTTGCGAAAATTTCATGATTATCCAAATAATAAAAAAATATATTGGTTAATAATGTAAATAACCGAATCTCTTTTTTGGCAGGAATTCGAGTTTGAAGTTTAATTCGTAAAAAAACGAAACTGTTTTCAAATATAATTGAAATTATTTAAGTACTTTTAGGTTGGTATTTTAATAATTTATTTAATATTTTAAGTTTTTTTTTAAATAATAACTGGCGATTCTATTTACTATTGCTATATATAACTATATATTTAAACAGCATGAAATTAAATATAGCAACTGAACAGAATCATTAATTTTAATTCATAAAATCTCTTATTTATTTGTAAATAAATGAGCAATATTGATTTCTCACTAAAATCGGATGTTTTCGATACCGATTATTTTAGCTACATCTTTAGATAAATCAATCTGAATTTTTAGATTTGATACTTTGTTAATTTAATTTGTACTTTTCTATATTATAAAATACTAGCGGCTCACCCTAAGAGCCCTAGCACCCTAGCGGTTGCCTAAAACACTAATAGAGATCTATTAGTTCCCACGGGAACCGTACATTTTTCCGGGATAAAAAGTAACCGATTTGTTATTCTGATGTATAACCTATATTATTGTAAAGTTTCATCAAAATCCCATCAGTAGTTTTTGTGTACTAAGCTATATAAGTTACTATAGTTTTTCGACTGTCCCACGGGAACCCTTTAATTTTCCGGGATGAAAAGTAGCCGATTTGTTATTGTCACATATGAACTATATTATTGTAAACTTTTATTAAAATCCAGCAGTAGTTTTGTGTACTAAGCTGTATAAGTTATTAATAGTTTTTTAACTATCCCACGGGAACTGTTTAATTTCCCGGGATAAAAAGTATCTAAGATGTTGCCCGGGGATATAAGGTACCACCATGCAAAATTTCATTTAAATCGGTCCAATAGATTTGGAGATTAGTCAGTACAAACAGACAGAGAAACAAAAAATATGAAAAAAAACCTGGATTTGTTCTATTTGTCTTCTTACATCGCCCTGACTCGGTTTTTAGCATTTTTTTGCTATGTACAGACATTCGACTTCTACTGTTTTATTATAGTATAGATGTGAAAGTTTAGATGTTTGTTATTCAATCACGCCAGAACGGCTAAACGGATCTGGATGAAATTTGGCACAGGGATAGTCTGGAATAGCAGAGGTTATTTTTTATTCCGGAAAAATGTACGATTCCCGTGGCATAATTTGTTTTTGTTTTTTAGTTAGTTAATAACGTATTCCTTATTTTTACCATTTATATTTTATTAATTTCTTCGCCACATACAAACAACTCGACGTGACGTGACGAGAGTTTGCACAGAAACAGAATATGCGCAGGGGAGCTAGGGAACTTTTTATCCTTGTCTCGAGTGGTGAAGTGGAGTGATACTATGGGAGTATCACTAGTTATAGTTAAACTGTTAGTCATTATAATAGCTTGTTGTACTATACTTCTGATTAGAAATGCCGATTTACGAGTAGGTACTAGTATGTCCTTTTACTTTGAGAATGTTTGAGATCTGTAAATTTGCGCATGTGTAGTATCAGAACTCAGTTTTATAATAAACTTCCCAAAATATCTTGAATGTCAATCTCAACCGCGAGAAACACATGACACGTGTATATTATATTTATAATAGCTAAGTTAGTGTTACAACAGAGATAAATATCTCATCATTTGATACAGGAGGCACCATCAAAATCATCAATTCCTAAAATGAATTTGGACCAATACACAAAATTTGAAACGCTCAAGTTTTTTTAATAGAAAAAAAATTTAATAATAACATTCAGAGAAGAAAAGTATTAAATATTATAATATACTACATATACATGCCCCACATTTATAATGCACTCTAATATTCACAGCAAAATTAACCATGCGTTTTGGACGACAGTGTAAATAAAAAATATTTAGAGTGCAAACTTATAAGTAACAATCTTCCTTTTATCACAAGGATTTTTCACTTAGTTATATATACTTTTATAATTTCGATAGCTGTTTAACTAATCTAGATTACATTAGAGATTAATTTCGATAAGTTAATATTAAAAAAAATAAAAGAAACATCACTATACATATTTTATTTTTAATGTCTGTTTTTCTATACTTTAGTCTTAAACAATATAAAAAAAATTGGATTAATAGTTTAAAAAGAGCTTTCTAATCAATATATGAGCTTAAACTAGAAATGTAAGTTGTGTTCTGTGATGTCATAGACTTTTTCAAAATCTAGATGTAGTATCGAGCAACAGGAAAACTACTAGTTTTGAACTTAAATTTTATTTATTATGTAATAAAAGTATTATAATTCAAACACAGTACGATATAGGCTACAATTAAATTGGTGTTTCACAAGGCTAAGTAGGTTCTTTTGGCGTAAAGAAAGTATGTAGAGACGATCTCTATTCAATATCCACCGGCAGGTCGGTGCCGGACTCTATTACACTATGTTAGATTTAAGTACGCTACTAAGCACCGAGGGATCAATCTTCCTATCGTTCCCTATTGAAGAATCGTTTTCTCCATTGAGGGTGGTTGAAAAATTGATCCCTCCGTTTATTTCTATTAATAACAAGTGAAATGTTTACAATTGAAATGTACTCTGACGACTGTGAGTATGGGGGTGGTGGTAAGAGGAGCGAGGGGGTGGTAAGTGGGGGAGAGGGTGTAGAGAGGGGGGAGGGAAATGAAACACCGATGCTTATTGACCTAAAAATGAAGAAACATTTATTTTCAGTATGTCTTTTGTAAAATTTAATAACAGAATGAATCAAATGTGGTAAGAGAATAACAGAGCGGAGTACTTCCTTAGTTCACCAACAATAGAAATATAATATATCGAGTCATTTACAGATACAATACATAATGCAGTACCGATAAATCTAATTTATTCCTTTACTTTACTGAGTTAGTTAAACATTTAATACGATTTAATGTACAGAGCGGCGTGTCCGCCGTGCTACGGCCACGGTTTTTTTTGGGATTTTTATATTTTTTCATCACGTACTTTATAAATATCTCATACTTGAAAAAAATTTACATTAAAATGTATCGGAAAGGTGCGAAGGCCCCGCCCGGCCGCGGGCCTCGCCGGGGCCTCGCGCCGTACACCAACTTCTCCTTACATAGTAAAATTAACGGAATACTTTAAAGTCTAAATAGGGAGGCGACGCTCGCGCGCGCCGCCGATATACCATTAAACTGAAACGATGACAATATTAATTTATCGCAAACACTAGAGAAATGCAGGTCCAATACGATGGTAATATTGTGTGTCATGAAACAAAACGTATATTAAAATTCTCTGCTTTATACACACACACTAGCCGGCGGCTCACTTCGACGTCATCATGGTGACGAATTCTGCAAACAACGAGAAACACGCATTAGTATGGCAGTAGAACACACACGCACGCACAAGAAATGTACAAAACCCTCGCAAACGAGTCTAGGGTGAAATATTAACACAGAAGTGACCGACAGAATAGAGATGCACTATTAAAACAACCTGTTAGACGATCGCGGCGAGCACAGGCCGCGCACAGGCCGCGCGCAGGCCGGGCGCGGGCGTGGCGTGGCGTGTGCTCGCCGCGCCGGACATAAATAAACGATAAGTTTGGACCTCGTCATGCCACTACAAAGGGATAATGAAATACCACCCTCTGGATATATCGTCACATTAAATGTACGGAGCGGACACGCAACGTCTCACCGACCCACAAAATGTCTAGTTCACATGTAAATGTACGTTTGCTGCTCGTTTGTTGGTCCATGCTAAGGTGCAAGCGCGCGAGAGGCGGGGACGATCTACCGGCGGGGATCGCCAGGTGGTATTTCTATAAGAAAACTTCTATACAGATATTAGACACATGCACCAGGCTTTAGGTAGGGGTCGTCCGAGATCCGTCGAGTGGCTGCGGTCGTTAGTGAAGCGCTCGGTGATTGTCCACAGTGTCGATGGATGGGATTGAGCACAGTTGGGTGGTAGCGAAAGCCATGAAGTATGTACAAAGTTCCCGGGTTAGTGACACTCGCAGGATCGGATGTCGGACGGCCCGCAGTTAGACACAACAGAGAGAGACCCCCAAGGCGGAGACCGGAGAGGTGATCGGGGAGCTAATGTCAAACAGTTAATAACGAGCAGCAAACCATGTCTGTACCTAGGTGGGCGCGACGGCGTAGGCCTTGTACACTATATGGGGAAAGAGATCTGTATCGTGGTCCTTGAAACGGTTAGTTACAAGTATATATCGCTAGCGGCTACCGTCGCCGCGAGCGAATATCATTTGCGCGAGCGAATGGAAGTCTGCAAGAGAAACCGGAGGTCGGTTGAGACTGCGCTCGCACTAGCACAGAGGGCACGGGCAACGCGGAAACTTTAGCGGTCTCTAAAAGTCATAACACTTAGCTAATTTCAAAAAAGTCAACGATATGTTCTATATTATTAAAGTCCGAAAATGTTCATTTCAAAAATATGCGCGAGTCGAATCCGTTAAAAAGTTTCACCAAGTGCTTTCCAAGGTTTCACCTTTTAAAGACGCTGTCATGAATATCAATGAAAGTATGTATTTTATACTAAACAACAACAAGGCCGACGTGTCGCCGCTGCCCTCTGTTTGTTTCGACGTTTACAAGTTTAGGTGTTTTTCCTTCATTCCAGTGGATGCATTAGTGACTGAAATAGGTAGTTATAATCGAATCGTTCAGTTACGGGAGAGCTCACATGCATGCACAAGTCCCAAACCACCGTGACCAGAGTGCTCATCCTATATTATACCAAAATATAGACAGACAATTTAAATTAACTGCATATTGAAATATAATTTTGATGAGATTTTCAGACATTCGATCGACTCTATTACTTTTAGGTTGTATTGTGTTTGTATGAAAAAACTATTACAGAACTGGATACTCACTGTAGAATTGGACTAAAGCCAATCTTTTTAGTACGTTACTTGCATTGTAATAAATATCTTATTAACCATTAACAATTTAGTAAATATAACAAAAAAAAACAGAAAACCTAACATATTTTGTATTTATAATAGAACATACATACATAATGTATAAATAAAAGCTGAATCAATTTCTATATTATTCCCTAACAAATGATACGTAAGACATTGTTTAGCTGATATCCGGTATTAAAGTTCAAAGGTAAGGAAAACTTTGAATACGGGTCAGATATACATACTTCAGTATCTACTCAAAGACGCGTTTTAACTTAACACGTCCTAATTTCTGATTTAATCATATATATATGTATGTATGCATAAAACATTAAACTTTTATTAAAATTGTATAAAAAATCGGCCAAGTGCAAATCGAATTCGCAGGGTACCAACTACTATCGTACATGTACTTTTTATTAATATGTCTTTTACTCTATGTATGTAGTATATTAACTTCGATGACCGATTACGAACGTCAAAAAATGTTTCTTGTATTTTTATTATTTGGTATTAAAGCAGCAATAGAATTACATACTTTGTAAAAATTTTAACTCTCTACTTATTACGGTTCATGAGATACAGCCCTCTAACAGACAGACGGATGAGCGGACGGACAATGGAGGCTTAGTAATAGGGTTCCGTTGGCACCCTTCAGTTACTTAAAACTCTAAAGATTGGCCCAAAATTATAAATTGCAGTTTTTTCATAAATTCGGCTTTTTTTGAAAATTCTTGTACTAAATGAATTTCAGTAATAATTTTTCAACGTGTAATAATAATAATAAATCTATCACGAATTTAAAACCGCTAAATTCCATTTCAGCTGGTACCAAAGCACACAGTTTGAAATCCCCTTCTACGTGCTCTCACATAAATAAAGCAGGGGTCGTGTCGAGTGTTTGTGAACTATATAGAGCATCATAAATAAAGTTGTGGATTGGGCAATAAAAGTAAAAACCACGTAAACAGCATGTGTATGCAAACTGATAACCAAATTTTACAGGATATTATTAATCATTGTTATGTCACAAAATATTATATAAACATTTTTAACTGATACAATTTAGTGGATGTTCTGAGCAATTTTAGGCATTATCACTAATTGATAGAAATAAAGTACAATTCCCAATAATTGATTTTCAGCTATATTAAAAACAATCGGACATACAGAAACATACATACATACATAGCATGTAAAATGACAGTAAATCGCTTAACGAGTTATAATGTTTATTGTAATATGCTACGTTACGTTTGATGTTTTATATTTTTATGAGCCACAATAACAGTTATGTGGTGGTTTACATTATTTCACTTCACTCCGAGCCTAATGTTTTAACTGTCTTTCTGAAATGTTCGAAATGTGGCATATAAATGTCACTTTACTATTTAAGAGCACGTTTTGTATAAACGCCGTTGATACGAATACATTTTTGCGGCGAAAAATTCCAACGTGAGTCAGATTTTGAACCAATTCATAAGCAAACCTGTCGTCATAAAACCCGCCGTACACGCCGTTGAATAATGGTCGAAGTATAGAGGAGGGTGGTGCTTTACCGTACGCCGGCAGAGAACATGCTAAATTATGTATAACACATAAACATTTTCCTAGCTTTGCTGCATTTACCGAAATTATCGTATTTATGTAGGCGGGTTTGACACACCCTACATAAAAGGTATACACAAGCGATAATAGCGTGATGTATAAACGATGTTTGACGTGATTTTTTAATTATATTATAAAAATAAAAATTAAACCATACCAAACCACGACATGTATCACCAAACATCGCCATATTTATTTGTTACTGGAAAACCTCATATTCAGATCAGATTAACTTTAGACAAAAATAACACGAGTTTTCTTTAGAGTTAATACCGAAGAATTCTCATAAAATATTTTCAACTTTTACCATTCAAATAAGTCCAATACTAGATTTCGCTGGAACATATTAAAACCCTCCAGAATCCGAGGTTCAGCAGTAACAATTTTCTGATAACTAACTAAATAGGAAGATAAACAGCACAAAACCCAAACAGTTTGAACTCACCCTCATAATTGACCTGCCCGTCACCGTCGATATCGGCCTCGCGGATCATCTCGTCGACCTCCTCGTCGGTGAGCTTCTCGCCGAGGTTGGTCATGACGTGGCGGAGCTCGGCCGCGGATATGAACCCGTTACCGTCCTTGTCGAACACGCGGAACGCTTCGCGGATCTCCTCCTCACTGTCTGTGTCTTTCATCTTGCGCGCCATCATTGTTAGGAATTCGGGGAAGTCTATCGTGCCATTGCCTGCGGATTGAATGAGGTTTTCGTTAGGTGTAGTCTTTATATTCGTTATACTGAATCCTTAGGAAGTCTAGTGTCTATTAGACCAGTTAAAGTACATCACAAGATCCAGTTTATGTACCGGATACACTTTATTGCGAGGTTCGTGCTCTAATTTTAACAAATTACTATATACATTATTATCTATGTAACTGATAGAATTTATTTCATACGATAAAAAAACCTACACATTTATATATATACAAACATATATATATATATATATATATATATATATATATATATATATATGTGTGTATATATATATATAAATAAAATATGTATAAAAATAACTCAAACATGCCACTGTTGAATAATTTTGTCGTTTTCTGTTAGCAATATGGATTAAAGGAAGTCATCTTTGCTAAGATGGCTGTATTGAAATATAAATAAATAAATATGTTGGGACATTAACACACAGCACCATCTGGTTCCATTGTAAGCTACGAGGCTTGTGTTATGGATACCAGATAGTTGATACACTACACATATGTAACTATAAATATATACATATTATAAATATATACACCCATGACTGGAGTACAAACATTCGTGCTCATCACACAAACGATGCTTCCAGCGGGACTCGACCCCGCGACCGCTGGCGGAGCAAGTAGGGTCACCAAAAACCGAGCCAAATGTGTCGTCATAATACGCATCACGGTTTTCTCGAAATTCCTCAAAAGAAAGCTAATATATAAATTAAAAAGTGAACGTTTACATATCGCTCGCTCATCAAAAATAAATGTTCGAAACAACGTATGCGAAAACAAAGCGATAGCTCCCACGATGTTTAATAGATTAGTAAGACCAGGTGCAGTTTATATTATTTCCGAGATTAATGATTGTGATCAAAAGAATCGCGAGTGTTTAGAATACGAACACAGCAGCTCCTCGCGTCGCCGCTCGCGCCTCGTACACGGAACATCGACCGATCAAATTATTTGAAACCCGTTAGCGTTTGATGCCGGCATTGAAAATAGTTCGAACTTTATTAGTAAGAGATTCAAGACAAACTACCATAATATGAACTATAATCTATACATATAATAAAACTCTAACTAAGCCGAATTTTAGATATTTTTTGGTAAATCTTATTGAAATAAACATTATTATCGATACAGAGGCCAAATCTATAGTTTTTAGATTTTTTATCTCTCTGTCTGTTACCGCATCACAGTAAGACCACTGGAGGGATTTTGATGAAATTTGGTATGGTGATAGCTGATTATCCGGGTTAACATATAGGATACTTTGTACCGCGGGATAATATTTCGTTTTTGATGAAAAGTACAAAAAATCCATTGTAAGAGTATACTATAATATGTACAACCTAAGAATTTGGTTTTTGGTCATCTGAACGCGAGCGGAGCCGCGGGCAATGCTACTACATACTATAACGATGGAAAATCTTGTTTTAAAACTTTCTGACGTATCATCTATGGCATCTATTACATATAATGAAATTCTAATTGAGTCGAATCTGTACATTAAATATCTTTTTTGGAAAATCTTATTGAAATAGTAATTAATATCGATACAGAGGCCAAATTTATAGTTTTTAGAATTTTTGTCTGTCTGTCTCGGAACGCATCACGAGAAAACCACTGAATAGATTTTAATGAAATTTAGTATGATGATAGCCGGCTAACCGGGTAAGCATATAGCATACTTTTTATTCCGGGAAAATATTTCCTCTCTGAGAAATCTATACTAAACATTAAAACGTAACTACGGACGAACCCGAGCGGAGCGAGGGTGAATCGCTAGTTGTTTATATTCATAGGCAATAATTCAGATTGAGCTTGACGGGTTGCATATTTGAGCTTTTATATTACGAATAAAATTAAATAAGCAGGATTATTTAAACACTCTTGTCCTAACTCTATTCATCATCATAAAAATCAAACTTAAGACGGTCGAAATTTCGATACTATAATGACAAACATTTCCGCTGATAAATAAAGGAGTTTTTATAATTCTATCCCTAAAGGGTTGAAAAGAAATAAAATCTATTGTATTGGCAACAATATTTTTAGAATGTCAAATGAAAAAATGTCTACGGAGCAGGTTGCTAGTAAATAATATATTAAAATATTAACTTCAAAGTTTGGTGCATTTGGAACGTGTAATTTATAGCGGCGTCGAGTGGCCGATCGACATAATGATAAAGTGCCGGACTGATAGCAATCGTAGTAAAAACTGTATAATTGACTCTAAAAAGGCAGTAATATATCTTGCAATAATAAATCACTTACGAATTGGAGTATATTTGTATTGAACACAGAACAAAGGCGTATTTCTTGTAATAGCCGGACTGATTGATAGAAATACGATCATGTTGTAAGAATTACCCAATCCATCCAGTTCCTAAATTATTATTGGTAACTGTTGCATGTTATCATTTCAAAAGTAATTAAATGCTGATTTTTATTATTAGTATAAAGGTGAATTTAGTATCTATATAGTATTTAACACCTCCAGGTAAATTTCTAAGAAATTAATTAAAATTCTAAGAAATTTAAGAAGTTCGCGGTCGTGGGAGTAATTTTAACATTAAAAATATAACAAACGTACTAAAGTTCTATAATTCTGCTAATTTAAGTCGGACACCATATTTCTGCAATTTGATAGTTCTGAAAACAGCTGAAACATACACATCACCTTCCACGAATCAAAACAGGACATAATAGCGAAATCGACAATACAGCCCACATTGCATCAAGTTAATAATATTCGATAAACATACTTCATTCGTTGCGTATTGGATTTTGCCTGCGTAGAATTCATATGAGTTGTGAGTGAGTAAAATTTTAAGCATATCACTATCAATAAATTGTACATATTTTTATCAATACTATAATAATATATTAAAATGCTTTATGTTTTGTTTGAAAAATCCTCTTTACACTGAGGAGCGAAGCCAGGGCAAAATCCAGTATTTAATGAGTACATTTTTAAGTCTTCTGTAAATCTAACATGACAAAGTATCACTCTTTGTCTTTCTGCTTATAAAATTTTATAATCAAAAGAAAATTTTGTTAAATCCTTGCACAGATACGAACAAATAACAGGTACATTGAGTTATTTTATGTTCCTGGTTAAACGCTTAAACTATGAACTTCAATACCATATAGTTAGAGGTGTGACGGATATTGAGTAAGAATATGTTTGTGTTGTACGTAACAATTGCATTTCTAGTCTAATGCCCGATTTCACCAACGTCACCTAAGTATAAGGGATCCCCTAAGCATGTTTAGGGGGCTGTTAGGGGACAGTTTCTGTTTCACCGACAGTTTGGGGTCACCTAAATATAAAATGGCCCCCTAAATTTAGATGCTCGAGATATGGGCTTAAAGACGATAGTAAAACGAAATTTAATTTAGGGGCTAGTTTAGGGGAACTTTTAAGCTAGGGATCCCATACGTAGGTGGTAGCTTATGGGTTGTTGGTGAAATCGGGCATAAGAAACATTTATTTGAAAGCTCCACGCATATTTACGGTTCCGTACATTCAATGAAAAAACAGTACTCGTTTACTTATAGTGTCTATTAGTTGGTCTAGCACAGACTATTTCCTCCGCTGGACGGAATAGTATAGATGTTTAGTACACGTAAAAATAAATATTTTATTTTGCGTAGTGGCAGCTTTATTGATAATAAACTGTCTACAATGTTAGATGTTAAACCATATAAGGCAAAATCATATTATAATCAAATTTTACACTGTTCATACATTTAATACAGAGAGTCAAATAACGATGTTTTTATTACCAAAGTTTATAATAGAATTTAGTATTAAAGCGCCGATAAGCTCGTTTTTAATTAAAAGTAACAAATCAAAAGCCACTACTTAATTAACATCGATATGTAAACTGAATAATTAATATGCATAAATAACGGACAACATAAATATTATATTATAAAAATTGGCACTCAGTTTGTTTTTAAAAACTCAACGCTGAGCTGTTTGAGACACAAAAAAAAATTACAAAAACATTTACAGCAACAAAAACAAAAAAAAACCCCAAATAGGCGGACAATTTACATTCACTGAGAACCTTTTTACATAACAGCCTATTTTAAACCGTATTCTAGTATATGTGAGTATCTACTTCTAGCGACCGGTGACGGTTGATACAATTAAAAATACTCGGCGACATTTCGTCTCGACGCGACGGTACGAGTGTACATTGCCGGAGCAAAAATAAGCACAGTTTAAGTTTGGGCCAGCTAATTCCGTGGTAACCTTTTCAGGCGTCGCGGACTATTTATACTCGAGCTTTCGAGAATGTACGCCGCATTCCCGCTGCCGCCTACTTCTAGGGCACATCTGGGAGTAGTAGCACGTACTAACACCCTATCTTAGCATCGTTAGTTATACATACATACATACATATGTGTATATTAACAAATCTGACAATGCAACTAAAGTATGGAGTGTTTAATTTTTTTAAAATTATAGGTACCAATATAATAAATTTTGTCGATCGAGTCGAATCGAGTGTCTTTGTAATATTTTTCTGCAGTACGCTGGATTAACATATGCGAATGAAATACAGAATAGAAATTACTCATATCCTGAGTATAACATAGAATAGCTGTTACCAAGTACCTACGAAGCGAGCGAACCCGAGGACAATAACTATATTATATTGTTCCAAATTCTCTTAACAGTTCTGAGATAGCAATTAGTCTCAGTTAGAAATGCAATCCGTGTTTTAACTGTTGAGACCAGAGCCAACCAGATTTGAAAAATTATACTTACAAATGACGTTATGCCTAAATCTTTCCTATATTTAAAATAGCAAGATACATTCCATACGTGCTGAGTACATATTAGCAAGTCGCGCTAAATTTGGTATGATGTGAACATAAAGCAATTTCAAGTATTAATGTTGTTGGGTGGGCCGCTCACAGTGAGACAGACAATGGGAGCCTTGAACTCGACCGCGACAGTTTTGG